CCACGTAACCTACAAAGAGGCAGGCGTAGCTTGGGCCCATGCGGGTATCCATGGCTACCCCCTTTGTCTGTAGGAAGTGGGAGGAATTGAATTGATTATTATGACAAACCTACATCATAAAAGGTATTGGTGGAACTTCCTGACTCCAAATAAGACCGTAAAACCTTCTTTCTGTTTGTGGGTGTATTTATGCTCTGCATTAGCCAAAGTCCTGGATGCATATGCTATTCGGTGTCCCTCTCCATTGTACCACCTATGAGCTAATACTACCCCAATGCTGTATTTGTGGGGGGGCATTGCTTATCAATACCAGATCTTGCTCGGGATCATGGTGCACCAACACCTTCAAGGCTGATGGCTATTTTTTCACTTCCCTGAGAGCTGTGACTTGGATACACCACCATTTCCAAGGCTGAACCTTTAACAGTTGATTCAAAGATGCCAAGATGGAGACCTGATTATGTACAAACTTTCCTTAAAATTTGCAGCCCAAGGAATGACCTAAGCTTCAGTACAGACATGGGAGCCAGGACACTTTTGATTGCCCTGACTTTATCTTCCAACGGGTGTAACTCAGTTTTGTCGACTCTGTAGCCCAAATAGGTCACTTGGCGTGTGTGGAACACACATTTCTCCTTTCTAAGGTGTACATCTGCCTGGGAGAAACATCTTAAGGACTATATCCAAGTTCTAAGTGTTCCTTATTGATCTTTCCTCTTATTAGTACCTCTGAATAAATGGCGATCTAAGGTAGATCTTGACAAATGTTCTCCATTTTCATCTGAGGAATTGCACAGGCTGACGATACCCCACATGGCAATCTTATATATTGTGCAAACCCTTATGGGTATTAGTTGTAGCATACTTCTAAGAGTCCTTATCTAACCTTAATTACTAGTACACATGGTTCATGTCCAGCTTCGTGGAAGACAGCCTCCCTGCCAGCTTTGCATATAAATCCTCTTTCTGAGGGATTGGGTACTTATCAAGCACCGAGAAGTGGTTTACAGTTTGTTTAAAATCTCCACAAAGGTGAACTGACCCGTTGAGCTTTAAAATTGGTATGACCGGTGATGCCCATTTTGCAAACTGGACTGGTTTGATGATTTTTTCATTTTCCAGCCTTCTGATTTCTGCCTCTACTTTTGCCCATAAGGCAAATGGCAGAATCGTGCAATTGCTTCCTGATCAAAATGGAACGTGGCCTTGGCTCCTTTGATAGTCCCTCGACCTTCCTGAAAGACTTCCAGGTATTTAATAAGGACATCACTCAGGCAGCCATTTTCTAATTGAAAAATGTTGAGCCAATCTAGGTGTATCTTTCTCAACCGATTTCACCCCATCAAGCTTATGCCTGAGCCTTTTGCTACAATCAGTCATAACTGAACCAGCTGCTTCTCATAAGAGACTGGAACCGAAGATGTATTCTTAATCTGGAA